CAAACATACACACACATACACACACATACATACACATACAGGGTCGTCGCAGTATGCGTTTTTGCAATTTACATATAGACAAAAACGCATAAAAAGTATAAAGACGCTGGAATTTTGGAAATAAAGCTCATGACCATGTACCGACCACATATTTCAGCTTCCGGATCACTTTGCGTCTTAACATTCGACCTCGGGTTCAAAATGAGGCAAATTTTATGTAACTCGGGACTGAAAAAACGGCTAGCAGGATCATATGACGAAACAGAAATCAAATTTCAAACCTCACTATTCCTTAACCTCTGACTGAGTGTTCAGGTCACTTTTACTATTTCAGAATGAGACAGACTCCCCAAACCAGTTCTGTGAATTAGGAAAACTAACGGATCTGAATCCAAATTCCAAGCTTTCCAATATAGTGACCAGTGATTTCACTGACATTATAATTCTAGAACGAAGCAGCCCATGAAATTTCGATAGTTCCCGTCATGGCAAGGTAAACCGAATCCTGCACGTTTCGACGTATTTACTTCGCACCAGTTTCTCTTTTTTTTTTGCAAAAACACATTAGTCGCACTTGTATTTTGAGGCACTTTCATCCCTAGCTTTCACCAGTAATTTAAACCACCTCGGTGTTTATTCATCTAAATTCACGCTTTAGAGATATTTTTTTACTCCTCAACAAAATTAACCACAGTTACTTGTGACAAGCCCGAAAAAGGCCGAAAAGTACTGAAAGGAAGAAGCACAGATTATTTCGGCCTATCCCAATAATGCAACGCAATAAGATTCGAGAGCTTTGCAGCAATGCGACAGAACAGACACTATACTGATAAGTTGATGTCGCTAGAATACCTATACGTCAAAGATCCAAAGTCCTTCCGCAACTCACTCTTTAAGGGGGAACGAACTAAAAGGCACCACACGTGATTTGGGAAACCACCCAATCGTACGCTCGTCGATGAATTGCCTACAAAAATTTCAGAAACCACGACTCGCGGAGTGAGAATCTTTCACCACTCCATCAGTGCGTAAACATATGTGCCAGAACTCCATGGTCTCAGCCACCACCCATGAGTTTTGAAATGATCAACGCACATTTACGGGTGGGTTTAAGGGATCACATTCCGAAGCTAGTGCAGGCGATATTGTTTGTTGCTTCACGGGACCACCCACGACGCTTGTCTGTGCCATACGTTCATTCTGGCAACCTTTGTGGTAGGTCACCATCCACGAGGGTGGCATCAGTTTTGTGCGGCTTCTTAACGATTCCCGGTGTTTCTCAACGAATTGCAAGCGATGGCTGCTGTGTTTTTTTTAGCTATGACTTAGTGGACGGGCCGGCTTCAATCCTTCATCAAATACCAAATGTACGGACGTATACGGCCACCGTTACAGACACTTGGAGAGAGTAAGTTGTTGACTTTTGAGGCTTTTTTAATTTGTTGCTGCAGTTGTGTTCGGCACAAGACTTAATTATAGACGCTGCGTTAAGTTGAACATCCGGCACCGTTTGACTAGCCGGAATAAACCATAAGTTAACTAGTTTATAAATAATCGCTTTTTGCTTTCTTTGGCCAGGCTCAGCTTGGGGATGACGGAAAAAATGAGTCAAACGGATTTCGAGTACAAGCAGTTGTTTGCGCCTTCACTTTAATGTAGCTTCCCGTAATAAAAGGACGAGTGCCACCGCCTTTAAGAAGAACTAAACGTTTTGTAAAGGATTTATACGGGGATGCGAAATATGCATAATGGAGTGTAGGACTAAAATTTCAAAGTGTCGAAATATTAAGTTAAATGAGCGCTGGATGCAGTCCGCCAGAAGGCACTGATTTGTTTCAAGGAATCGCAAGATTCAGCTGGTCTATGAAACAAAAAAATTACGAGACGCATGTGAGAAGCGGGGAAGCATCGGTATGATAATTTAAATTTTGGAGCCTGCGGTTGTTTCAAATTAACTTGTCACGGCGCCCTTACTGGCGCTTCCGGTACGAGTATTTCCACACATTTCAACGACTGTCAGCCGCCGTCTATGAAACTCCAGTTTCGTGGTCTGCGTCGCTTAGCGTGACGATGGGGTCGTACAAATCAAAAGTGAGAATGCCCTCTGGTTTATCAGCCACCGTTCGCGTTTCAAGATCCTTTTTTGCCAAACTTTCACTTAATTGCATTTGCTTTGTCGCCTACACTCTTACGAAACACATGAAAAGGCCAAATCGGTGTGAAAATACGTTGTTCAATGGACTCAGAAAACCAAACTAAGACTCACTTGGGCTTCCCACACGGAACTTTGCTGTGTTTTAGGTTGAATGAGCAGCGCGTCTGTTCGCAGAATGGGATGAAAATCCATAGCTTTCTTTTTTGGTAAATGCTTTTTTTTAGAAAAAAAAAAGAAACAAAAATTACCTATAGTATTTGACTAGGCTGTAAGAGAAAGTCAAGAACAATTTCATTTATCGCATTCAGGGCCCGAACATTTTGCCGGTTTTTTTTTCTAGATATGAACTGGAAATAATTGCTGGTGATCCAAGCAGAATATTCAAAGGCAAAGATTCGGTTCGTGATCTGGTTACTGCTCTTACGTCCTGTGACAACGGGCCGCGTCGCAACAACCACCAGAACAGGAGCTCAGCCAGGAAGTGATTTGTCTAGCGTCCTCGGAACAAAACTTGATGTTCCTAGAGAAGTGCAATATGTCTGGAATAAAAAAATACAAAAAGGTTTGTTCTGAAAGCTAAACACTTCCACTACTTCGTCTTTGAAAAGGACCACGTATACGAAGTCGGTCAGTTGTATGTGACAGTGGATGTAAGGTGGGGAGGGGCTCTCAAG